GGAGAATGGTGTGAACCCGGGAGGCGGAGCTTGCAGTGAGCTGAGATGGTGCCACTGCACTCCAGTCTGGGCGACAGAGTGAGACTCTGTTTCAAAACAAACAAACAAACAAAAAGCTTGTGATTATAGCAAAACATATTTAATACTTTTGATGGAATTGAACACAAAGTTAACTTAATCTTTCACTAAACTGGGGAGTTAATTGAATGAAATGATTAGTTTCTTAGTTTCTTTGGTCAACTTTGCTTGAATAATTGGTCGATCTGTTATCATAGAGCCTAGAACAGTTTCACTTCACTTAGTCCCATGCGAAGTATTCATTGATTGTGGTTCTTTCCCAGGCAATACTTGTTTCAAAAACACTACTACCTGAGGTATTTTCAGAGACCTTTACATGGACTGTTTTTGCAACTCTTATTCCATGGGTGAGTCAGTGCAGCAACAGGTCTGTGTGGACTCCTGGCAGGCTGTTTCTCTGACTGGAATCACTTGCCAGATGATTTTAATGTTGAAGGGCAAAACTTAGCGTTGGTTTGTGGCCCTTTTTAAAAAATCACCAAGCAGAATAAATACCAATTCTATAGGGGCTTGGGGGCAAGAGAAGTCTCAGAAGCTGGCTTATTTCTCTGTTTGGGTCTGCTAGTGAGGCAGGGCTTAAGGTTAACTCAGTCCTTATAGGTACAGGACTGTCTCTTAGTTTTACAGTCTTCAACATTTTATTAATTTCCAGGCAGTCTTAATAACTACTATATAACCCTTACTGCAGGTAGGCACTACTTGAAGTACTTAAGATGTATTACTCAATTTAATGTTCTCAACAGCCCTGTGAGGTAGGCTCTGTTAATTATCACACTTTACAGATGAGGAAACAAAGTGCCTCAGAGAAATGAGGTTTTTGCCTGAGGTCCCATAGCAAGTAAGTGGCGGTATCTAAGGTTTCAGAGCAAGTGTGGACAAAGCCAGGATTTAAACCTAGGCAGCCTGACTCTAGAGTCATAACTACTCTACGGTACTGAGGGACTGCCTTAAATCATGCTGAAACCAGAAGGGAAATGGATTTCTTCACAATGACAGGTATAATAACTATGATAATAAATATTGGTTATTTTCTCTGATCACTCTCTCCCAATGAATGAATCTACTGGAAAGTCCAAATCATTGATTAATTGTTGCTAGGTAAGAATACAACCTGAACAAAGACAGTAACAGATATTCATTGGATTGGAGGGGTAAGGAAACAGGGGACATCATTACTTTTTCTGGGCTCCAGGTCACATGGCCTCAGCCTGATTTTTCAGAGGCACATCAGAACTTGGAGCTGAGGAGTGAGGACCAAGTCTTGCCCCGTGAAGTCTCAGGTCAGCGCCAAGAGTCTGGGGCACCATTACCAGTCCCACGCGGGGTAACAAGCCACGAGGGAACCAAGGTGGGAAGCCAAGAGAATCAAGAAGCATGTGTGATGAGGGGGCTTCAAGCTGGCCCTGGGGAGGCATTCTGGAGGAATTTCCTGAGCCGGAGTCCAGAGTTTGCCATAGGTTTTATGTGTGCCTCTGGTGTGGGATCCTTGGGATAGTTAAAGGGGCTGTGTAGGAGGAGACTTGTTTCTAGGACGCTGAGGAAGCTGGATGGGTTATCCTGTCTCCTTCCAGGGCTGTGTCTAGAATGTTGACAGTGGTCCCAAAATTAGACATCTTCTGTCCTGGGTGGATCATAGTCTCGATTATAACATTCCTTACTCTCAAATTCCTTAAAAAAACTTTTTATTTTGAAATAGCCATAGATTCACAGGGAGCTGCCAGAATGGTTCAGAGAGGTACTATACACCCTTAATTCAGTTTCTGCCAATGGACACATCTTGCCTAGCTAGAGTACAATATCAAGCCAGGAAGTCGACATTGGTGCAATCCACAGATCTTTGGCAGATTTCACCAGTTTTACATGCACTTATTTGGGTGTGTGTGAACAGTTCTATGCAATTTTATCATGTGTGGATTTGTATATTCACCATCACAATCAGGATACAGAACTCTTCCATCATCACAAAGATCCTTGAATTCCTTTTAAAAAGGAAACATCCACTTCTGAAAGCACTATTACCTCATGCTGCTAAGATGTAATTGAGGTTACAGTCTCCTTTATATCTTTTGCATTTCATTAATATTTTTATGTGACTACATCCTGCTTATCTCACAGACATGACAACATTTGGGTCCTTTTGACTGGATTACGAGGTTATGTTGCTTTCATTTTTAGCTCACCCTTAGGCAAGCCATGTAGGGAGGTGGAGGATAGGTCTCTCTTGTTTACCACTCTATACCCTGCATCTAGAACAGGGATTAGCACACAGCAGATGCCCAATAAGCATTTCTGAAAGGATTTAACCCATTATATCTTGATTCTTAGTACTTAACATTGTCAGTGTGTGTGTGTGTCCCCCGACCCTGCACAGTTCGGTCCCAGCTACTGATGTTGATTTTGTGTCAGATTCAATCCTAGAACTTTCACTGCATTGTTTTTTTTTAAATGGATTATTGCCCATAATGGACTACTTTGTGCTTTTAACAAAATTGAAGCTAAACATTGTTTAGCCTAGAAGAAATATCTTTGACAAATAACCATGGGTACAGCTCATGCCTTCCCCCCTCCCCATCTGCCTGCTAGCCTCTTTCTTCTTACGTATCTTCATTTTATCAGGTTAAAACACCTACCAATTCAATGACATTCACACACCACCCCCACTCCCCCAAAATTTAAGTTCTCATGAAAATCTCATTAGCAGAGAGAGGTGGAGCAAATTGAGCCTCATCTGTTTGAGTTTCATTGTACCTGTTGCACATCGAGCAGCTGGCCACATGGGTCAGAGCTTCTTCTCATGACTGCACCAGGGTTACTTCGTGTTTACTGAGAGGCCCTGTGACAGCGACTGCTAGTTGCAAAGGGAAACCTGCAGGGAAAAGGTGGAAGGAGTAAGGGAGTAGTGATTTGTGTATGTGCCAATAAGGCTCAGGCATCAGATATTCAAATGGGCACTGATTAAACTGGCATTCAAACTAAATTTCCATTCTAGTATTTCCAGTTTGGACAGAGCCATTCCCTTTTTTATTTTGTATTCTGAGGTTTGACATTGGATTTGTTACCTTGAAATTCTCTAATGTGTTAATTCTCGTGGATTCTTCCTTTGACACAGCCTTATTAATCTAATGCCTGGACTCTTGAGACAACCTTCTTTCAGAAACTACCCTTCCTGCCCACATCCTCATCCATACTGCACATTGTTTCCAATTTAACCATTAAAATACCTGGCTTTAATCAAAAGCCTAAGGTTTCCCCTTGGATCAAATCAAGTCCAAACTCTTGCAATCTCCAGCTCTCCTCTTGAAGCTGACTGCTTACCATTAGCCCAGCACTCATCCCTTCAGGCTAGTCCAGGCTTCTTATGAAGGACCCTGAGTGTAGTCACTTATATTTCTGTCTTCATGCCTTTTAGCATGTGTCCTTGGGGCCTGTATGTGCCTTTGGCTGCCTCCTTCACACAACATCTGACTCCTACTAATATGTCCATCAAGGAGGCACTCAACAGGCAGTCGTTAAACATGTAGTAGTAGCTTCCTGTGGTTTTTGTCATGAATGACCATAAACTTGGTGGCTTGTAACAACAGGAATTTATTCTCTCACAATTTTGGAGGTCAGAAGTCTGAAATCAAGGTGTATTGTCCGTTTTCATGCTGCTGATAAAGATATCCCTGAGACTGGGTAATTTATAAAGAAAAAGGTTTAATGGACTCATAGTTCCACATGGCTGAGGAGGCCTCACAATCATGGCAGAAAGAGAAAGGTGAAAGGCATGTCTTACATGGTGGCAGACAAGAGGGAATGAGAGCCCAGTGAAAGGGATTTTCCCTTATAAAACCATCAGATCTCTTGAACTTATTCACTGCCATGAAAACAGTATGGGGAAACTACCCTCATGATTCAATTATCTCCCACTGGGTCCCCCCCACAACACATAGGAATTATGGGAGCTACAATTCAGGATGAGATTTGGGTGGGGACACAGCCAAACGATATCACAAGGTGTCGGCGGGACGGAGTTCCCTCGGAAGGCTCTAGGGCAGAATCCTGCCTTGCTTCTTTCAGCTCTGGTGGCTCCAGCCATTCCTTGGCTTGTGGCTGTGTAGCTCCAATCTCTGCCTCTCTGTGTCCCCCCTAGGTGTCTCTTGGGACACTTGTCGTTGGATTTAGGACCCATACAGGTAATCCAGAATGATCTTATCTTGAGATTCTTCAATTAATTATGTCTGCAAAGGCCCTATTCCAAATAGGGTCACATTCACAAGTCCCAGGGGTGAGGACATGGACCTGACATTTTGGGGGTCACCATTCAAACTACTACAGTAATTAAACAGTCAAACCCAAAGAGGATCAATTCTGAGGTACCAACCAATGCTATTAAAATATAAGTGGCCAGGCGCGGTGGCTTACACCTGTAATCCCAGCACTGTGGGAGACTGAGGTGGGCAGATTGCTTGAGCCCAGGAGTTCGCGACCAGCTTGGGGAACACGGTGAAACTCTGTCTCTACTAAAATACAAAAAATTAGCCAGTTGTGGTGGTGTACGCCTGTAGTCCCAGCTACTCAGGAGGCTGAGGCAGGAGAATCGCTTGAACCTGGGAGGCGGAGGTTGCAGTGACAAGATCCGCGCCACTGCCCCTCCCATGCCGCGTGTGACGAGTACACGACCTGTCCTCGAAAAAGACACACTGTGTATATAATAGACTACGATAGATAGATGGATACGAACGATAGTGATATCACCAATTTGGACTAAACCAATAAAACGTGCTATTGAACTTTGGGTGGTCTAAGATCAAGCTGGGTTAGATAGATACACACTACTCTAAAACGCAAGAAAAAAAATTTACAATTATAAGAACTCGACCCAAATCTATGCAGAATGGACTTTTACTTTGTGCCTTATCTCTATGACATGACATCTCACCATGGTTTTGCTCCATCCTCTGCGCGGCGAGTTTCTTGCTTCGCTCGTGCTGCTCGTGCTTTTAGCATCATTTGTTGTGTAAATGAATAAAGGAAGGACTGTGAACAGCCTCACAGCTTTGGTTAAAATAGATTAACAGATACAAATAATCTAACAGACAGAGCAGATTCAGTCTCTTTGGGAATTCACAAGCGAGAATATTCAGTAATGCTTCCACTCAAAACACTTCAAGAAATCGGTGACATAGCTGCTAGAAAAATGCTCGTACACGTATAGGGTGCATTAATTTAGAGTCCAGCTCAAGTGGGAATAAAGCCCTTGTAATTAGCCCCAGGCTTGAAGGACTGGTATACGCGGCTCTAGAGCGTCTTGTATAGTCTTCAGATCCACAAAATGATGAGGAACATCTCTATTCTACTATGCACCAGCTTCTTCTTATGTTTTAAAATCAGACTGATGGAATCTTTTAGAAAAAGAGGAAATTGCCTGATTGCTATACTTATTATGGCCTGCTATGAGCCCCTATAGGAAAGGGAAAATCAGCTGATGAAAAACCTCGAAGCTCTCCACTCTCTCTGTCACTAGCCACTCAATATTTTAATCCAATGCTTCAGGTAAAGCATATTGATCTTTTTTTTTTTTTTTTTTTGAGACAGGGTCTCTCTGGTCACTCCAGGCTGGAGTGCAGTGGCGCGATCTTGACTCCTGCAGCTCCGCCTCCTGGGTTCAAAGCGATTCTCCTGGCTCAGCCTTCCGAGTAGCTGGGACTCACAGGCATGCACCACCCTGCCCGCTAAGTTTTGTATTTTAGTAGAGATGGAGTTTTCACCCATGTTGCCTGGAGTGGTCTCAAACACTGACCTCAAGTGATCCACCCACCTTGGCTCCTCAACGTGCTGGGATTACACACATGAGCCACCACCCTGCCTGATCTATTTACTTTGGTGGTTCATCAACAAAGGTACCCAACCATGGGCTCTATTACTAAATCAAGCACCTCAGTGGTTGTGATGATCAGTTTTGTGTGTTGCTAAGCTACAGTTCTTAGTTATTCCATTCAAACTATGAAAGGTACTTTTGTAAACTGTGACTGAAGTTCATAGCAGTTGACTTTAAGTAAGGGATATTATCCTGGATAATCCAAGCTGACTCAATCAATTGAAGGGATTAAAAGCAGGCTGAGGTATCCCTGAGAGTGGAAGAAATTCTGCCTGGGGACAGTACCTTCAACCTTTGCCTGAGAGCTGCACCTTGTCCTGACTGATGGCCTGCCCTTTGGATTTAAGACTTGCTTAGCCAGTCCCACAATCTGGTAAGCTAATTCCTTGGAATACATCTCTTACTAAGATCTCCTACTGGTTCTGTTTCTCTGGTAGAACCCCACCTGATACAGCAATTGCCTGGGATCTCTGTTAAAGGGCTGAAAAGCTGGGGAGGAACTGTGAGGCAGTAGAGTGTTTATCAGCGTTCCTTAAACTTTAATGAGATATCAGTCACCTGGGGGTGAGGCAGGAGAACAGGGAATTGGGGTAACCAAGGGTTAAGGTATAAGGAAAGAACAGCAGGTGCAGCAAGTTCCAGGCAAGATTAGGCAGCATACAGGCCACATCCTTGTTCCTCTGATAACAAGACAGAAGTTTCCACTTCAGCCTCTGATTGGTCACAGGCCAATCCTTCATAGGGTGTAATCAATTGGAGGCCTCTAAAGTGCATCTAGGAGAGTTACTAAACTTTTGTAACTTAGTAAGAAGCCTAATTGTTGTTGTTGGCGGGGGGTGCTCTTGTGCCGCATCACTTGCTGGAGTCTGCTCCCACTCTGAATTGTAGCTTTGCTTCAATAAATCTGTGCTTTCGTTACTTTTTTTGTTGTTGTTTGTCTTTCATTGCTTCATTCTTTTATTGCTTTGTTTGTGCATTTTATTTCATTCTGTGTTCAACTTGCCAAGAACCTGGACAACTCAATCAAGACCTTCCATCCGGTAATAGGGTCTGAGTAGACTCAGGTGATGTTGATGCTGCCCGTATGCTTTGATTGGCAAGACTATATCTAGTAGTTCTTAAATCAGGCTGCACATTTGAATTATCTGGAGAGCTTTTAAAAAACACTGGTGCCTAGGCCACACCTCTAATGATTATGATTTCATTGGCCTGTTTCAAAGTGTAGTCAGAAGCACAGAAGAGCATAGGTGAGTGGTTCTCAAAGTGTGGTCCCTAGATCAATAACATCAACATCACCTGGGAGCTTGTTAGGAATGCAAATAATCAGATCTTATACCTACTGACTCAAACTCTGGGATTGAACCCCAGCCATCTGATTCCCTCCAGGTGATTCTGATGCCCACTGAAATTTGGGAACTGGTGCAGGAAGATTTTGAGTCTGTAGTCAGCCTCCTTTCTTAGACAAGCAGCCTAAGCTCTCTGTGGCAGACGTTAGCATCTGTAAAATGGGGATAACAATAGAACTCATGTTATGGGATGTCTGAGCTTGATCAGGGAGCTGACACCAACTATGGGGAAAAGCTGAGGTTCCAATGCCAGGAGAACATGGGTACATCTTTAATCTGGAGGGGCTGAAGACAGAAACAGAAGCACGATTTATAGGAAGCAAGACAAGAGTGAGAGGGATTGGTTTGGGACCAACTGGGGAGATGGGGTGCCCTGAGAACTTGCCTTGGTGGGCCGTGGGGGCTTGACTCAGCACCTTTATCAGTGCAGCCTAGGTGAGGACAGGTGGGGCTATGAGGATGAAATTCTAAAGGACCAAAGTTTGGAGGGTAACATCTTCCTCTGAGGTAGTGGAAGAACCTGCCGATGGAGGGACCACAGAAGGATCTATGGGAGAACAACGGGAACTGCAGGAGAGGTAAGAAGACCTTCAAATATCAGTGGGCAGGAGTTGGGCTCTTAGAGGATGGGGGGGCCAGGGTTCAGACCTCTGAGGCTGAGGGAAACAATCAGGATCTGATGGGGGAGAAGAGGTGGGGGGTGGGATGGGGAGCTGTGCTGGAGGCCTAGGTGTTGTGCTGAACCCCTGTTAACCTCAATAGAAAAGGCACCAAGTTCAAGAGGTCAAAGAAGAGACCCAGAGCTAGCAAATACGACTTGGGGATTTTATTGGGACTGACTTACAGGGGAGAGAGTCCAGTGGTGGTGAGCTGGACAGGAGAACCACCTTACCTATAGAAACAATCCAGCGGTGGTGGGCTGGACAACATAACCACCGTACACATGGTCCAGTGGCAGCGGGCTGGGCAGGAAAACCACAAATGCTTGCAAATGGCATGCAGTTTATACCGCATTTTCATTTAACACCCTCTCCTTAATGATCTCCACCTGGCAGCTTTCATGTACCGCACTCCTCAACCCCAAACTCAGGGCCTCCATGCCCCATAGAGCCAGTGTTCCACGGGACAGCCTGAGGGCTCAGATGTTCCTTATAGACAAGGAATGAATCTCTGGGTTGGTGACTCGGATTCACTATCGGAATACACTCAGGTGCGTCTGCCATACGAGGTCATTCTCAGAGTATGCTTGCTGTTGCTCTCAGGTGTGCTTACCATGCACTAGGAAGTCAGCTAGTTTGGGGTTTGCTGTTGGGGGCCGACAGGAGGAAAATGTCTGGGCCCAGGTTTGAGGACTCCTATGAAGCAGAGAAACCCACCATCCCAAACTCTAGCCCTTCTTAGGCTTACCTCGGGCCAGAGCTATTCCTAGGTGCCAGGCCAAGCCAGGACCGGAACCCTTGTCTGCTTATCTAAGGCTAGTGGTGGGAGGGTGGGGATGGAGGCAACCGCGTGAATCCTACACCCCCACTTCCTAGGCCTCCCACCCTACCCAGCATTTTTAAAGTTCCAAACATGTTTCTGCGTTCTCTATCCTGGTCCCCAAGCGACCTTAGCCTTAAACGCTTTGTAAGTCTTTAGTGCTCTGCTCAGAACTCTAAAGGTTGGTGTAACTAAGATAGAAATGCTGTGTCTACAGCCGTTGCCTTGAAATGGCAATGGGAAGGGCTGCCAGGAAGTGTAGTCTCTCTCGGAACGTGTGAGGTGCAGAGAAAAGCTGCTGTTCTGTCTCTGGGACCTTGACTCTCCAGGAGGAGGGGGAGAGTTAAACTTACTTTACGTTTTTTCACTTTTCTATATTACTGCCCTGGACTGTTTCCACTTTTCTTCTGCTTCTATCTTCCTGTCTTTCCTTTTGATGAAAGAGAACGGGGAACTGGGCAATAATCTGATTTAATGAATCTGCCATGCTATTTGAGAAGAACTGAAAGCTTTATTTTAGACCAAATGAAATGAAAAATTGTATATAATGTAAAATTAGTAAAACAGACATGTTAGGGGAGCATATGCTGGGATTTGTTAGAAGGAAAGTACCCTGTCTCAGCTTTGAGGAACCACCACAGCCTACTGTGGGCTATGGGTCATGGACAAAGGCGGCACACAGGACGTCACATATGCCTGTGCAGAGAAATTATCGAGAGACTGGATGGGCAGGATTAGAGGCCCAGAGCTTGACAAGGTAAAAGGGATCTTCTAGTTCTCTGTAGATAGTTGAAGCTGACCACTTCTCAAGGAAAAATGTGTTTTAGGGTATTCAAGAAAGCGTAAAAAAATCAATATTTTTAGGCTAGTTTTAAAGGGGTATTTATTGGCTGGTGGGTTAGGCATCTAATAGTTAACTAGTAGGTTACATTTATGAATTAGTATCTAGGAAAGAAGACATGAGATTCTTTGTGTCTTAGTTTATTCAGGCTACTATGACAAACTACTATAGACTGCGTGGCTTAGAAACAACAGAAATTTCTCAGGAAACTGAGAAGGCCAAGATCAATGCAATGGCAGATTTGGTGTCTGGCGGGGGCCCATTTCCTCGTTCATAGGTGGATGGTCTTACTGTAACTCCACATGGCAGGAGGGACAAGGGATCTCACTTGGGACTCTTTTATAAAGGCAATAATCCCATTATAAGGGACCTAATCACCTTTCAATACCATCACCTTGGGGTTGAGGATTTCAATACACGAATTTTGGTGGGGGGAGGGGTGGCCATAAACACTTTTTATCCATTGAAATTTTCAGAAATTTCCCAGAAAAACTACAGACTGAGTTTTACATGTGGTTTTCAGAGTCAGTAGCCTGAAATCAAATAGGTTAGGTTCAAATTGCCTCTCTAGTGTGCTTGATCCTGGGGCAAATTAGTTCTCTGAACCTTGATTTTTCTCGTCTTTGAAATGGGGATTATTATGGGAATTAAATGTACTACTAACGTATGCATACATTAGTAGTTTGTAGAGTTGTTTGTAGAGTGCCGTTTAAAGATTAGTCGTTATGCTTCCAAAGTCCTATTTCCTAGAATAGAAGATGAAATTGGATGTCTCATGGGGTCTCAGGAGTCTCTTTTGTTTTTTGATCCACCTATAGGCATATACAACATGTATTCCAGCATCATTCCCAAGCTGCGGTGGTATTCTGGGATCTGAGCCTAGGTTTCTCTTTTTCTTTTAATGATAAATAAATGAATAATCACAGTGGTTGCACAAAGTTCGGGTGAAGCCAAGCTTTTCCTTTTCCTCAGCGCAGGCTCTCTGGGCTGAAGCCTGTGTGGAACTGGGGAAAGGCATGGCTGGGGCCTCTTTCTCTAACTTGTTCTACTTCTGCACCACTCACTCTGCTGCCCTGGATGGAGGTGGAGGTGAAAGGGAAGGTGAAGGGGCTGGGAAGGTCCTGCTTGGCATGACAGTAGTAACCTGGCATTGAGGCGGCTGGATGGGTTGGATGATGCAGTGTTAGTGCTTACTCTTGGTGGGCAGAGGGAGTTTGCAGTGAGTTTTCAGGGATTCTGGTCTTGGCAGTTTTCTACCTGCAATTCCCTTAATGTGGGCAGTTACTCCTGCAGTTGGACATCTGTGACTCTCCCCTCAGCCCCTGGCTCCTGGCAATCTGTCTCTCCGTTGGGGTCACCTTATCCCTCCAGGGGATCCATTTATGATAACCAGAGTCTGGTTCTCTTCCATGGGGTTTCCAGTTGCCCAGTGAGAACTCTCTGAACGTCTGTTTCCCACTCAACGCCGGAAAGCCTGGCTGTTCCCTTCATTCTGCCGCTTTACTACCAAGCAGCCATTCCAGCCAGCTTCTCATCTTCAACACTAGAGGGACAAGTCAGGTGTTAGTCCACAATCTCCAGGGAACAAACAGCAAACTCTCCAAGTTGTCCTCTTGAAGAGCCCTCTTGGCATAAGGAGGGGGAAGTACCACCTTCTCCTTGTCCATGGGGACTCCTGGACACCCATAACTCTCTTCAGAGAAAATCCCAACTACCTCCTAACTTCTGTCTTCCTGATGAATTCTAGTATTTCTTTAATATTGTCAGGAGGTGTGTGATGGGCTCCCATTGGAAGAACAATGTTTTTGGTCACTCCCTTCCAAATCCTGAAGAGAAGGCCTTGACATCTGTTGTCTCGGCTTTGGGGCATGGCCAAAATGTTAAGATGGGAAGAGTCCCATTTGAACATCCTGCCTCACCAAGATAAGGTTAAGTGTTCTCATGGCCAGGACTGCAGGTACTTCCTTCGGGATCCTTCTGCTTCCCCTGGATACCTGGAGGCCTTTGGGCCTCCCTTGTCCATGCCCCAAACTCCTTAATAAAAGTCTTAACTCTTTTAGTCCCATCTAACCACAAAGTTGTTTTACACTAGTTGTCAGACAAAACTAATCTGCTTCTAGGAAATCTCATTAAAACAAGAGCATAACCAAGGCAGTTAACTCTCCCATGATTATCTGCGTGTTGAAAGACATGGAAAATTCATGAGAGGAAAAACAATCCAACAGAAGTTCAACATAGTTTCTGACAGATGAAACTCACACTGTGTACAGTTGTGGCCACCCTGTCTAGGGCCAGGGGTGAGGCAGGGGAGTGCCTCGGAGATTCAAGGTTCTCTGCGTCCCTCCCTAGAGGGTCCTATTCTACTTTCTCTGGAGGTGGAAGTGCCTCTCCCTTCTGTTGACACCAGGTTGTCACCAACGTGACTCAGACATTCTCTGTGAGCTTGTAACCAGGATGGCATATGGACCAAAATGATACCCAGTTTGAAAGGTATGTGGAAATAAACCAAAACCTTCCCATGTAAATTATTCCCACAGCACCGTGTAGAAAGCCAGGGCCCTTCCCCTCATTCCCTCCTAGCTGCTTCTTAAAATGACCAGTAGGGGGCACTGCAGGGTGAGTTTCCCAGCCCTCCTGCACGTCCCATTCATGAAAAGTTATTGGAACATGAAGTATGGAATATAATACACCTATTTTAGCTACAGTAATACTTGCTGAGGAATTGATTACTCATAAATGTAAGCTCTCAGTTGTTCTTGAGATGTGATCAGCTAAAGAAGGAAGTTTTAGCTTGAAGGATAGGGGATCCGTTCTAACTAGGTGTTTGTGAAGTACTGGACCCTCATGTCACTGGAAAAATGTCTCAGACATGACCGTTGTGTGACTATGATGTATTTGGACAGGGCACCGAAAGAAGGATCTGGCAGCCTTAGATTGGGGATGCGGGAGAGCCAGAGACATGAAAGCTGAGTGTTTTTAAATGTCAGGAAGAAGCTATCTTTTATGCTGACTTTATTGGATACTTGGAAGCTTTATTGCATGTCGGGCAGTTGAACTTAAAGCCAGCAGCAAGTTTATTATAAAATCAAATGAAGAAGGGACAAACAGTTCTTTTTGTCAAGGAAGGGAAATTGAGGTACCCAAGGAAAATAGAAAACAAATCTTAGATTTTTAAGAGTCACAGATACAGAAACAGAAACCCAAGGCAGGTTTTGAAATTGGGGCGTTTTAATTTAAAGCAAAGTTATTTTTCAATCA